GAAGTCTTCCTCCTTTATATGAGAAGCGGTTCTGAATGCTCTGCTCAGATGCAACTCACAACCCAGTGGGGAAGGGCGTGCGTGGGACGAGCACTTCGGGCAAAATAAGCCCCTGGCTGTAGCCCAAACCCTAACCCAGCTACTCTTTTGCAGCTGAAAGCCCACGCCCAGGTGACCTTTGCCCACCGTCAAAGGAAGGGGACCCTTCTAGTCCTAGGGCCACCAATGACCTGGTTCTGCGCAGGGCGCGGCACCAGCAGCTGTCAGGGGACCCTGCAGTAGAAAAGCGGCCTTCTCGAACTGGGGGCAAAGTCATCAAGTCAGCTTCAGCCACAGCCTTGTCTGTCATGATTCCTGCAGGTAATGCTGAGCCCTGACTATCAAGTGAAGGAATGCCCAATTTTGTGCAAGGGCAGGCAAAAGAAAATGCTAGTTTTCCCAGTCCACAATGATTGATTCCCGGAAGGACCAGTGAGAATCTACTCTGGGACTTTCCCTTGGGAGAAGGGAAGAACAAATATTCTGGCATTGTTTCGGGTTGGTCCTGATATCTGACCATGGTTCTTTGTCTGCAGTGGACCCACATGGAAGTTCCCCCCTTGCTAGTCCAATGTCCCCACGATCTTTGTCCTCCAACCCGTCCTCACGGGACTCCTCCCCCAGCCGGGACTATTCCCCAGCTGTCAGTGGACTCCGCTCCCCCATCACCATCCAACGATCAGGCAAGAAGTACGGCTTCACACTTCGAGCCATCCGTGTCTACATGGGTGACTCCGATGTGTACAGTGTCCACCATATTGTTTGGGTAAGCGCCCCCAGATGGGTTTCGTGTCAAGGGTATGGAGCAGACAAGTACCTCAGGATGAGAGATGATTGAAAGCTGAATCTATGCAGTATGAGTGAAATCCTTCTGAGACTCCCTCTTTCACCAACCCTCAGTTTTTCATCTGCAAAATGGGGAGAAAAATGGCTATTTGGTAAATTGTCACGAAGATTCTGGTGCAGGCAAAGCCAGGTGTGTGGCACATAAGCTTGTTACCAATCCTGCTACCCTTGTCTCCAGCATGTGGAGGAAGGGGGTCCTGCCCAAGAAGCAGGGCTCTGTGCGGGGGACCTCATCACTCACGTGAACGGGGAACCTGTGCATGGTATGGTGCATCCTGAGGTTGTGGAGCTGATCCTCAAGGTGAGAGCAGAGAGGGTGCAATGGGTGGAAGGTGGCTGGTTTCCAGGCAGCCCCTTGCAAAGCATTCCTTTCCTTCTTCCCCCAGAGTGGCAACAAGGTGGCCGTGACCACCACACCTTTTGAAAATACTTCCATCCGCATTGGCCCCGCAAGGCGCAGCAGCTACAAGGCCAAAATGGCAAGGCGGAACAAGAGGCCCTCTGCCAAGGAAGGCCAGGAGAGGTGGGCGATCCAGGTGCTAAGCAGTGGGCGGGGCTAAGGTGACTGAGGTCCAGGGGAGGACCAGAGAAGGCAATGCCACTGAGACTGATGAGTTAAGAGGAACTGAAAATGTTAAGAAGTCAGGGCCAGGAGCTGTGCCGTCTTCTGAGCTAAGCAGAAAGCACTGTGGGCGGACCGGCAGCAGACATGGAGTCGTGGGAGGAAGGAGTCCAGTCACAGGTCTTGCCCTGTTAGATATGTTTGGATAGCCTGGGAGGGGCTAGCCTAAGAGATTTCTATCAGGAATGAGTGTGCCAGGCAAGACTGTGCCAACTGAAGTAGTCATGCTTGGGTTAAGAACAGGATGCATTCCAGTAAGTGTGATGTTATACTTTCTGCTTGATCAAACATCATAGAGTGAGTTTCACACCTCAAGTTTCACACCTTGTTTGGGTAAGCGCCCCCAGATGGGATTTGTATCAAGGGTATGGAGCAGACAAGTACCTCAGGATGAGAGATGATTGAAAGCTGATACACTTTCATGTGGCTATTGTGGCACAGTATATGTGGTCTTCCTTGAGCCAAATGGCGATGTGTGCTGCATGCCTGTAATTTATTTCCTTATGGATTGGAGGAGGTAGGAGAGGTGGATGGATGCAAAGAGTGTTTGGTTTTATATATTGTGTTGAGTGCTGGGGATGAAACCCAGGGCCTCCCACATGTGAGGCAAGCTCAGGCATTGTGCTACACCCCCAGCCTCAAGACTGTAGTTTTGCTCAGTGGGCTTGGGCTGGACACCAAGTGGCATTCTGAATGAGATGAGCCAGATAAGGCTGTCAAGTAAGTTAATCCTAAGAGGTGGGTTGTAGTAAAAGGAGGGGCCGGGGAAGTGGGGTGGCAGAGGACTTGGTTTTGTTTGGATTGGTGTTTCTAGCCTCAACTGGGCATGTCCAGTGGATGAAAGGAGTAAAGTGGGACTGCGTCCAGGGAAGAACTTTCTGCCTTGATTTATAGATTGTAGCTAAACTGGATGTGATGGAGATTCCTGTCATCTTAGCACTGGGGAGTCAGGAAGATCACTGTGAGTTCAAGGCCAGCCCAAACTACGTATCAGGACCCTGTCTCAAAAATAAAATAAAATAAAATAGGGGCCGAGGAGATGGCTCAGTAGAATAAGCACTTGCCTGGCAAACATATAGGGCTTGAGTTCAATCCCTGGTTCCATAAATAAATAAATAAATAAATAAAATAAATAAATTTAAAAGGGCCAGCCAGATAGCTCAGCGGATTAAAGCACCTGCTTAGGCAGAGCACAGCGGCTGGGGTTTGATCCCGACATGCTGTGCCAGCCCCGCCCCCGAGGCATGCTGAGACAGCGCTTGAGACTGGGTGCCGTGGTGCTCCCTGTAATCCCAGCGTTTGGGAGGCTGGAAACAGGAGGATCACTATGAGTCCTATCTACGTACTGAGACCCTGTAGACCCTGTCCTAAAAACATGAAATGAAGGAAGGAAGAAAGAAAGAAAAGTTGTAGCTGAAAGGGCCGTTACAGGTGCTGTCTTGCTGCCCAGAAGTGGGAGGAGCCGGGAGCTCTGGAGTTTGGTCAAGGGTAGGTGGCCATCTCTCTTCCCCAGCAAGAAGCGCAGTTCCCTTTTCCGGAAGATCACGAAGCAGTCGAACCTACTGCACACAAGCCGCTCACTGTCATCACTGAACCGCTCACTGTCGTCCAGCGACAGCCTCCCGGGCTCCCCTACGCATGGGTTGCCAGCGCGCTCGCCCACGCACAGCTATCGCTCCACACCGGACTCTGCCTACCTAGGTAGCTCTGCATGGGGCACCGTGTGGGGTGGGGTGGCAATTCCTGGGGACGTTCCTGAGCCGTGCGCCTCCTCTGGTCCGCAGGTGCCTCATCTCAGAGCAGCTCACCTGCCTCGAGCACGCCTAACTCACCGGCATCCTCTGCGTCCCACCACATCCGGCCCAGCACGCTGCACGGGTTGTCGCCCAAACTGCACCGCCAATATCGCTCTGCACGCTGCAAGTCTGCTGGCAACATCCCACTGTCGCCGCTGGCGCACACTCCGTCCCCGACGCAGGCGTCACCGCCCCCGCTGCCAGGCCATACTGTGGGCAGCTCACACACCACACAGAGCTTCCCGGCCAAGCTGCACTCGTCGCCGCCCGTCGTGCGTCCTCGCCCCAAGAGCGCAGAGCCTCCGCGCTCACCTCTGCTCAAGCGCGTGCAGTCGGCGGAGAAGCTGGGCGCCTCTCTGGGCGCCGACAAGAAGGGCGCACTGCGCAAGCACAGCCTAGAGGTGGGCCACCCCGACTTCCGCAAGGATTTCCACGGGGAGCTGGCGCTACACAGCCTTGCAGAGTCCGACGGCGAGACCCCGCCTACAGAGGGACCTGGCTCCACGCGGCAGGTAGCAGTACGCCGCCTGGGCCGCCAGGAGTCGCCCTTGAGTCTGGGCGCGGACCAGCTGCCTGTGGAAGGCACCTCTAGGCAGGGGACCTCGAGCAAGGACAGGGAGTCCCCTGGTGGTGGGGTCGAGGCCTGCACCCCACCCCGCACCACTACCCTTGGAACCCGGACCCTGGAGCGGGATGTGGGCTGCACGCGACACCAGAGTGTGCAGACAGAGGACGGCGCGGGTGGGATGGCCAGGGCTGTGGCTAAGGCAGCACTGAGCCCGGTACAGGAGCACGAGACTGGCCGGCGCAGCAGCTCAGGTGAGGCTGGCGCGCCCCCAGTGCCCATCGTAGTAGAGCCCACGCGGCCTGGGGTCAAAACCGTGGCACCCCAACCTCCAGACACGGACCCCAAGGCATTGCAGGAACCTGCAACCCATACAACGGTGGCACCCGAGGCCCCGCGGGGCCGGGAACGCTGGGTACTGGAAGTGGTGGAGGAGCGGACCACGCTGAGCGGGCCTCGCTCCAAGCCCACTTCCCCTAAGCTCTCCCCGGACCCCCAGGCCCCAACGCCATCCTCCACGAAGAATGCACCCAGCATCACTGCAGGGTCCCCAGTGCCACCCACTTCTCTTCTGGTCCCCAGCACCAAACCTGACGCAGGCCTCAGCTCTCGAGGCCCTGCTGAAGCTATGCCTCTAGTAGGCTTGACCAAAAAAGGGGTGCCCAGCTCCGCGCCCCCAGGCCCATAGCCAAGGAGCCCATTGGTCCTTCTGTACAGCCACCTGTATACATTGTACACATATAAATAAAGTGTGTCCATACTGTGGAGCTTTCCGGGCACACCTTCTTCCCTGGTAAGTTGAAGCATCAAGTGCACCTTTCTCTTTGCCCCTGGACTGGTTAGGAGAGGAGAAGTGGGTTCCCAGAAACCTGAACTTCTCATTTCTAACCTTTTTACCTGCTGCCCCAGGCCCTTAAGACCAACAGAGGAAGGCAAGTGTAGTGGTTGTAATGCCAACACTCTAGGAGGCTGAGGCAAGAGAATCTCAAATTTAAGCCCAGCCTGGGTATCTAATCAATTTAAGGAGGCCATGCCTTGAGGGGAGGGGGGAACCTGTATATATAGTTCAGTGTGATGGCCCTGGGTTTAGTTCCCAACACAACCCAAACAAAACATCCTACACCCACCTGAAGAAAGGTTAACAGCTTCATTCACCAATTTCCTTTTCTCTTCAATGATCTTTGAGTGGTACATATTTCCATTTTGCAGACAAATGGGCTGAATCGCAGACAGGATAAGGCACATAAGGTCATACAAGGAGGGAATGACTTGGAATTCAAACTTAAATCCAGGACTGGATACAGCTTACTGTACAGCACTGGCTTAGCATGCACAAACTCTGGGTTCTATCCCCAGCACCATAAGAAGAACAAACTCCAGTCAGTCTGGTTCTTGAGCCTTTGTTCTTTACTCTCCTGGCTTCTTGGCCCTGGGGTTGTCCATACATGGATTAAAAGTCTTCACCAGAGGCTGGAAGGCCTTCCAGATAGCCGGCAGCTGGGCACACAATGTGCCCCCACCCCGATGCTCCTCTCCGTGGTTCCGATTCATGTCACCTATGCAGGCCCACTGCTCCCTGGGGGCCACACACCACTTGGAGTGGTCCTCTGTGGAATGGAAGGTTGGTCCAGCAGGCCCAGGGAAGCTCGTCTGATTAACATTCAGAACTTTAAAGGGACCAGAACAGTTGGATGGCAGGGTACCTTGAGAATTTGGCCAGAATTGAACCTGCAGGTCTGCGCCAAGAGCTTCTGCCAACCAGCCAGCATACAGATCTGCAGAGGAAGAGAAGAGTACAGGCAGTGGCAGGGCAGGGCCCTTCATGAATGCCCTAGGCTGCATCCCTTCTCTAAGGGCAAAGGTCAGTTCTCAGCAACTCTTAGCCCAAGAATGGCAAGAAGAGCGCTTACCAAATCCTTTTTGTGCCTTGTTTCATTCCCAACAATCCTTTAAGTTTGGCCCTTCCACTTTTTAGATAAGTAAACTGAAGCTCAGGTTAAATCATATATCACACAGTCAGAAGCCAGGATGTGGGTCCAGCTGTGTCAGTTGTGTGCCTCTCGTGATTATGGTTTCTAAACAGACCTGGTCCCTGTCCCTGGCTTGCCCTAAGCCCCGGGCCCACCAGACAGCTCCTCCACAAAGGAAGAGCTTATCTATCATCACTCACCATCTCCAAACTTTCCAGCTTTGGCAAAGCTCTGGAATTTAATGCCTGCCTGTGATATGAGTGTTACACTGCTGTTCCAGGGTTCCTGGCGAATGTGTTGGCCTCTGGCCACATCCTTCAGGCCAGGGAATTTCTGGGCAAAGATGCCATCCAACTTGTGGTCAAAAACGAAGGGGAAGATGTAAGCCAGTTGTCTGCCTGGAGGACAAGTGCAAGAGGAGGCTCAAGACTGTGTCACTCCCAGTTCTCACCCACAGATCCAGGCCTCGCCTGGCCCCTAACTCAACTCACCAATCTTTGTGAACTCAGTGAGAGGAAAAGACACACAGATTAGGGTCTGCCCATAGGTTTGGGCATTGTGAGGCCAGGTGTATGCACCAGAAGATGGAAGTGGTGGGAAGCGCGGCACACTGTGGATCAGCCAGAAGCCCCCTTCTTGGTCCAGGAGCAGGATACCTGAAGCAGAAGAGGGAAGTAAGGGGGGTTGTTCGAGATAAACTCAAGAAAACAGGAACACCTTCAGTTTGTGGGGGCATGGACAAGGTACAGACAGGAAATACGCTCAGGCTGCTTGCTGAACCCCAGAGCAGGTTCCCACACTATGCAAATCAAAAATTACCTTGGAAGCCAGGCACAGTGGTGTGTGCCTTTCATCGCAGCACTCTGGAAAGCTAAGACAGGAAGATTCAAAGTTTGAGCCCAGGATGGGTTTAAGAAGACTTCGGGTTTTGTTGGTTTGGTTTTTGGCTTTTGGAGAGAGTGTCTCCCTATGTAGTTCATGCTGGCCTTGAAGTCACTATGTAGCCCAGACTGGCCTCAAACTCTTCTGGTTGATCCTGCCATGTGCACGACCACACTCAGTTTGGGACCACAAAGCCCTCTTGGAGCCCAAAATCAAGACCTCACCCTTCGCATGCCCATTGCTGGAAGTGTCCGGAGCCCACACCGGTTTGGGCGGCTGGTCATTGTACAGCAGAAAGGCGAGCTGGGGGCAATGGACGGCAATTGTGAAGGTCCCTCCGCGGCGGGGCACCCCAACTTCCCTCCCAGGTCCAGCTTGCCCCCCACCTGGCTGGCATTGGCCCGATACAGTGGCTGCAGGCTGCGGCCCACAGCACCCTCAGAGCTATTGATGGGCCCCGCGCCGTCGCGCCAGCCTCCCGAGCTACCGTCCAGGTAGCGGTAGCGCAGTCCCTTCCTCGCCTCATTTCCGGGGCCGCTCTGGGCCGGCAACTTGTAGATCACGAACCTGCAGGGTGGGAAGGCACGGGAGGCTGGAGGGGAGAGAAGAGCCAGCTTCCCCACGGGGCGTAGTGACTCAGGGGCTCCCCACCCCTGCCTGCAGTGCCCGCCCTCGCTCACCAGTCTACGGGCTGCCCGGAGTCCCCATAGCAGCGCAGTGCCCAGCCGGGGACCCACAGCAGTGCGCCTAGCAGCAGAGCCACCAGAGAGACCATGTCGCTGCGTGTAGGATCTTGTGTGTCTGGGTCACGCGAGCCAGTCACGAGCCCCAGACGCAGCAACTTCCTCAAAATAGCCCAGCAACCCAGACCCGCACGACAAGAGGTGACAACTAGCTTCAGGAATGGGGCAGTGATTTGCCCCTCAGCCTGCGGCACTGGAGGAGGGGCTTCCTTCCGGCCCCCAGGCCCCGCCCCTTCCAGGCCCAGCCTTTGCGGCAGCAGATTCCATGAGGAGTCATCCTGACCACGCCCCTTGTGGGCAAATCACGCCTCCGATTGGTCTTCTCGAGCCCCGCCTCCGTTCCGCCCCTTGGTGGCTAATAGAGATGCTTGCTCTTCCCTAGCTTTTTGATTTAGCATGTTTGAGGGCTTAGTTTCCTCTCTCTCTCTCTCTCTCTCTCTCTCTCTCTCTCTCTCTCTCTCTCTCTCTCTCTCTGTCTCTCAAGAGCCCTAGCTCTTGTTATCTTTTGCACTCTTAGTGGGCACTCCTTTACAGTTTGGACATCCTGGGCTTCCCCTGAACTGGGCAACCGGTCACTTTGCATTGTGTTTGAGCAAAGGGTGATGGGGCTTTGGGGTTGGGCTGGTTTTCTTTTGTTTTGTTCTGTTTGCAGTACTGGGGATTGAACCCAGTAGTTTTGCACTGAGTTATGTTCTCAGTACGTTTTTATTTTTTATTTTGAGATAGAGTATCGCTCAGTTGCTGCCTCACCCTCCAAGAGTGCTGGTATTGCAGGAGTGGTCAGCATAACAGGCTGGGGCTTAGTGCTCTTAAGTGGAGGGAGACTAATGAATGACCTTGAGTTCCGAGCTGGAGACCTAATGATTTTGAAGAAGTGGGGGAATGGGGTGTTTTCCTGAAGCAAGGGGTGTGTGGCTGAGCTGTAAGACATAAATTTGTCTGCCTGTTTCCGTATCAGAGTCCTCCCACCTGATAGCACCCAAAACCAAGTCATGACAACGCTGAAGCTTTATATAGGAAGGGCGTTTTGGGGGACCCATAACCATTGATGTGGAGCCTTTGCTGACTCAGGGTCTGGGAATGTCTCCTCCTCTCACCCTCTAAGGCTCTTGGTGCTAGTCTGAGGGTCCATCTGAGCCTGTTACTCTGGGATTCACTGTTACTGTCCGAGTTTCCTGCGTGGCTCCCGGTGGCAGGGGACATGTGGGGGTTTCCACTGCAGGGCCCCCAGGTCTGTTTCTGAGTCACCTCTGGATCTTGCAGTGGAGGAGGCCATTAGTTTGGATGAGTCCAAGTGAGGGTCTGTCCTTGGGAATCAGCCCTGCACCAATCTCTTCTCGTTCCGTCCTTGTCCCTGGCAGGATCCAGCCCCAGGACAGAGTCACAGGTGGCGCTTCATGTGCAGAGCCAGGTGGTCAGAGCGGGAGAAGGCGCGCGGGCAGAGCTTGCAGCGAAAGGGGCGCTGGCCCGTGTGTTTCCGGTAATGGCGAGTCAACTCATCAGAGCGCGCGAACCTCCAGCCGCAGCCGTCCCAGGAACAGGCATATGGCTTCTCCCCTGAGAGGCAAGGAGGTCCTGAGTGCCAGCAAGGAACGCACCACATCCCTAGGGTCCCTACATGTGCAACAGCCCACTACTCAGTCTTGGCCAGGACTAGGGGAGGCAAGGGGGCAGCATTCTGCACTAAGGTGCAGAATTTAAGGAGGCACTAGATCTCGGGCTGGGCCTACCCGGTGACCTGGACTATTGTTCCTCACACCCCCAACTGGGGCACATTTTCTCCTTTCCTGGGCCTACATGCATCTTCCGTACCTCTGACTGTCCCACTTCCTATACTCTAGTCCCTTACACATGCTTCTTTTTACTGCCCCACTCCTGCTTTCAGTCCAGCCCCGCTTTCAGCTCCTACTGAAAACCAGGGAGCTGAAAGCTGCTGCCCAACTTTGCCCCTGGCCTTGGTCTCAGAGCCCCCAATCATCTCTGGTTTCAGGCCCTGATTTCAGCCCTTTCTTTGGGGGGAGGGGAGACACGACTCTTTAAGTTGTTATGTTGCTCAGGATGGGCTTAAACTTCAGATTCCTGCTCTGGCCTCCCAGAGTGTGTATCTCCTATGTCCTCTGCTTGCCAACTCTGTCCTCCTACTCTTTAGTCCCGTATGGACGTCTAGGCCTCATTCTCCTTAACAAATGCGGCCATAGAAACAGATTCATCCGCTAGCCTCACTGCCAGGGCTCCAGCCACGCCTTCTCATTCTGGCCCCACCTCCATGCCAAGCTACCAAGCGCCTGGGCATACTCCTTCCTGGCTTCAGCGCCCTTGGCATTCCAAGCTTGCACCCTCTTTGAAGTCCCTCCTTTAGCTTGTCCCCTACGACACTCGTCCTGCTTTTTGCTCTTTCTTAGGCTCCGGTACTGAAATGCTCTGTCCGGATCTGCCTGCTGCATCGCTGTGCTGGGGTCTGGGTTTCCCCGCTAAACTTCGCGATTCTTACTGGCTCCCTTGGCCCCGCCCATTGCTCGGTGACGTCTGGACCCGCCCTCTGTCCGGTATTTTGCCCTTGGCCCCTCCCTTCTGGTCCCCGCGCGGGCCCCGCCCCCTCACCCGTGTGCGTGCGCAGATGCGCCTTCAGGTGGGAGCTTTTGGTATAACTCTTGCCGCAGCCCGGGTGCGCGCACGTGTGCGCTGCCTGCCTCTTTCGTGCCCACGAGCGCCGGCAGCGTTTCTGGGGGGCGCCTTCGGCGATCACGCTGGGGTCTCCTGAGGTTCCCACGAGTCTGGCCCCCACTGTTCCAGGTCCCAGACAGCCCAGGAAGGAGGGGGGTGCGGCGGGGCTGGGCGAGGGCGTTGGGAGCCCGCGGAAGAGCTGGAAGTGGCCCTGGTACTGGGGCGCCGGGTACAGTGGAGCGTACCCCGGCAGCAGCCCGTAGGGGGCGCTCGGGGCTGCGGGCAGTGCAAGCCCGGCGGGCGGGAAGAAGCCGCTCGCGGAGCTCGCTGCCTGCCCCGGGTACACGGGCTGCAGTGCTAGCGCCTTAGGCTCGGGGCTGGGACCCGGGGCCGCGAATGGGTCCGGGGCGCGCACCCAGCCCGCTGGCTCCTCGGGTCCCCCGAACCCCGGCACCAGGCCCGGGCCGTTCACATAGGCGCCCAGAGTCTCGGGGGGCGGAGGGTACTGCGCCCCGGTCGCCTCTCCAGGGCTCAGGGCGCAGGTCCGCGGCGCTCCTCCCGGGTCAGGGCTCGGGAAGCTGCTGAGGAAGAGATCCAGGTCCCAGGTGGGATCTGCGTCTCTGTCGTCATCCTCGTCTTCCCCCGGTGCGTCTTCCGACTCCGGGCTTACATGAAGGGGCGGCCCCATAGGATCCGGGGGACCCGGGCCCAGGTCCTGTGCCTCGTCTAGGCGCCACCACTGCGGGAGGGAGCACAGGCCTGAAGCGTTCGCAGATACCGGTGCGCTGCACCCACACCGTGCGGATCAGACACCCCGACGGCACTCTGGCCAGAGGTCGACCCAGAGGAATCTAGTTTGCCTGTCTCCCCACACTGTCCCCCTCCGCCTCCCCCAGCTCAAGACAGAGGTCGATCTAGCCTGGCTGGAGACAGGAGATAAGACTTCCATTATCTGGACCCACATTCAGGATGGGGGCAGAGATGGCTGGGGGGTGGGGTGGAACCCAGTCTTGACTCAGTTTCCCCCAGACCCTCCCCCTTTTTCTCATCTTCATATAAGATTTTTTCCTGAGCCCTGGATTTCTCCCAGGCCCCTTTACCATTTCCTTCAGATAGCTGGGACATCATCCACCTGAGCCTACACCTATCCGGAGGTTAGCAGAGAGCTCAGTTTTTCATTACAGAAATAGGCTACACTTAGAAGCTCAGATCCCTAGGCTACCCGCCCTTCAGACCACATTCAGATCCCTCACCTGCATGGAAGGGGGACCCCAAGGCAAGATGCAGGCCCAATACCAAACAAACTCTGGCTCCCTGGCCCACCTGGCTCCCGCCTGGCCGCACCTTAAGCAAGTCCTCCTGCGTGTCCGGGCAGGGCCCCAGGGTGGTCAGCGTGCTGATGGAGGGCAGGGCAGTCTCAGCGGTGGCCATGGCTGGCAGGTGCCTACCCGGGCCTCAGCCCTCTGCTCTCTTGGCTGCCTCGTGGGCTCTGAGGCTCAGCGGGCCCCTTGAAGGGCTCCTCTCTGCCCTCAGCTGATTGGCTACCGCCCCTGATAAGGCCCAGGCAAGGCGGGGGTCACCATTTCTGGGGAATAGACCTCAGCCTGTGTAGAGCTGGGCCTTAAAGACAGACCCTATATGCCAGGCCAACTCAAGATGTCAGGAATTGGCTGGTCCTGGGGCCAGGGGTCCAGGAACCCCCAAATAGAAGCAGAGTCCCCAAGGAAGCACAGGTTTGAGGGAGTCTTCTCTCAGTTTACCTTCCTGGAGAAGGGATGAGAGACAGAAGTGTTCTAGGAAGGAGCTATGGGACCCTATATCCCCTAAGTGAGGCTGTCCAGTTCTACCCCTCCTCAAAAGACAGCCATAACCGTGCTGATGGCGGGACTTGGCACAAACTCTCTGCAGTGCATTATCAGCCATGCCAGATGCTGGAGGCTGCTATCAGGTGAGGGCCCCAGAACAGCCAGAGCCCTGTCCCCTGGTGAGTGGGAGGGCTGGGGGTTGGGCCTGCACTTTCCTGTGGCTTTAACTTGCCTGCTCATGAACCCCCAGGGTCTGATCCCCTCAGTGGGAGGGCGCCTCTGCCAATCAGCCCACTGTTGCCTAGTGTAGGAGCTCCAGGGGACGCTGTGGGGTGAGGGGCTGAGGCTGGTGGCATTACAGCTGCTGCAGGTGATGGGGACAGGGTGACTATCAATCACCCAGGCAGAACCTGCCCTGCAAGAGACTCATACCCTGGCCCTAGCTACTGCTGGATTTGGGCCCCAGATGGGGAAGGACTTGAGGTTCTGGTAGACACTCCTCAACTTTGGAGGCCCGAGAGCACAGGTAGGAGACATGGACACATATCACAGATACGTAGGTCATAGCCATACACCGTCATGCAGCTAAGTGACACAAGTTGCCTGTCCCTCAGCCACACAGAGCACATGACTGCTGCATGTAAATAGTTGTCCCTTGGTACAGAGTTGTATCAGGACCCCAGTGAGTACTAAAACCCATCAATTCCTTGTATTAAATGGCACAATATTTGTGTAGAACCCATGAATATCTCCCTGTAGACTTTAAATCAACTTCAGTGTGCATGTGTGTGTGCGCGCGTGTGCGCACACGCACATGCGCACATGTGAGAATGTATGTGTGGTGCTGGGGACAGCCAGGGCCTTCACACTGAGCTACATCCCCAGCCGTTATTGAGGGACAGGATCTCGCTACATTGCCCAGGCACTTCCTGAACTTTCCATCCTCCTGCCTCCACCTTCTGAGTAGTAGGGATTACCACCACACCCAGCTCTCTAGAGTACTTATAAGACCTGATACACCATAAATGCTATGTAAATAGTTGTTATGCTGTATTGCTTAGCATAACGATATAATAGCCTTGAAACCCTGAGCACACAGAATTCATAATGACAGACAGTGCTGAAAAGGTCACACTATCTCACTGATACAGTTTGGCTACCAGGAATTTCATCTCCTGCAGACACCTCTCACAGAACCTTACAGCGCAGGCGTCTTACACAGCCTCAACCCGTTCCCCATGTAAGACGCAATCCAGAAGCAGCCAGGCTCAGACGCAAGGGAAGTCCTGGATATGTTCTCCTATAACTATTTTGTTGTTGTTTTGAAACAAAGTCCCGGTGTGTAGTTGAGAGTGGCCCTGAACTCACTCTGTAGCCCAGGCTGGCCTTGAACTCCTAGCAGCCCTCCTCCCTCAGCTCTCAAAATCCTGGGATTACAGGCATGTGCCACCGCATCCAGCCATCCTATGACTACTGAAGATGCGGTCACACAATCCCATCAACCACTGGGATATCCTCAGAGACTATAACATAAAATATGGCCACATGCTCATCCCAAGTATGCATACATGATCACGGAGCTGCGCACATAGATGTACATCATAAAATCACAACTCCACACAGCGCCGCGCAAAACTGAGTTATTACACGGGTCACACGGCCTGCTGCTGACACGGTATTGAATTAAGGCACATAATATAATCACGCAGATGCCATTGCTCACCCATAGAGGGCGCACCTCTCAAATTCCGACAATCCCATTTAAAGACATTCTGAAGATAGTGGAGGGCACACAGCTGCCCCTAACACCGGGACATCTCCACAGACACAGAGTTAGTGTGCTACACATGTCACATAAAAAGAGAAAAGAAAGTGTGCTGTGGGGAAAAGGAAGAGAAGGACAAAAAGTAGGGAGATTAGCCAGCTTCATGCAACCATTAGGATACCTCCAATTATTATTATTTTTTTTTCTTTTTGGTATTGGGGTCTGTACCCAGGGCTTTTACACTGCGCTTTCCCCCTAAGACATTTAAAAAAAAATTGAGACAGAAGCTTGCTAAATTTCCCAGCTTGATCTGAAACTTGCAATCTTCTCTGAGTTTCTGGAATTGCCGGCCTGTTCTACCACACCTGGCTCAAATTTTTTTTTCTTTCTTTCTTTTTTTTTTTTTTTTTTTTTGGTGGAACCGGGGATTGAACTCAGACTCTTGCACTTATCAGGGAAGCGCTTATTCTACTGAGCCATCTCCCCAGCCCCTCAAAAATAATTTTTAAAAATAAAAATGGAGGGCTGGAGAGATGGCTCAGTGGTCTAAAGCACCTACTTGAAACAAGCTTGGCAAAGCACAGGGACCGCGGTTCAATCCTCCAGCACCACATGCCAGTCAGCCCCGCCCCCTGGTGGGCTGAGCTGGCCACACACACACACACAATAAATAAATGTAATAAATAAAAATAAATAAATATTTAAAAAAAATTTAAAAAAAATAAAAAAATAAAAATGGAAAATAAATATTGAGGAGGATGTGGAGAAACTGGAACCCTCATACACTACTGATGGGAATTTAAAATGATGCAGCCTTGCTCTTCCTTGGCTCTGCCTATGGAGGTGGCAGCCACCTCCCTCTTGGCACCATGGCAGCCCTCAGACTCCTCATGAAGCCCAAGATGGTCAAAAAGAGGGCCAAGAAGTTCATCTGGCACCAGTCAGACTGATATGTCAAAATTAAGTGCAACTGGCGGAAACCCAGAGGCATCAACAACAGGGTGTGGAGGAGGTTCAAGGGCCAGATCTTGATGCCCAACATAGGTTATGGAAGTAACAAAAACACAAAGCACATGCTGCCCAGTGGCTTCTGGAAGTTCCTGGTGCACAGTGTAAGGAGCTGGAGGTGCTGCTGATGTGCAACAAGTCTTACTGTGCAGAGATGACTCACACCGTCTCCTCTAAGAACCACAAGGCCACTGTGGAAAGAGCAGCCCAGCTAGCCATCCAGGTCACCACTCCCAATGCCAGGCTGTGCAGTGAAGAAAACGAGTAGATTGCCTGTGTGCATGTTTATTTGTACTTCAGTAAAATCATAAAAAATGCAAAATAAATAAATAAAAATACAATGATGCAGCCACTAGGAAAAAACAATTTATTAGTTCCTTAAAAACTTAAAATGAGGGGCCAGGGAGATGGCTCAGTGAAATAAGCACTTCCCTGGCAAGCGCAAGGGCCTGAGTTCAATCCTCGGTTCCACCAAAAAAAAAAAAAAAAAAACCTTAAAATGAGACTGCTACTCTACTCCCAGGTGTATATTCCCAAAGCCAATGTGTTCAAATAAATTCAATAAAACCTTGTTTTGTAAGCATAATTCATCCAGGAAACATGCTTGTAATCCACAGTACTTGCACATCAAAGCAAATTTCCCCATAAGAAATAATCAAAACTCGCCAGGCATGCTGGCACATGCCAGTATTCAGGAGGTTGAGACAGGAGGATTGCTGTGAGTTTGAGACCAACCTGAGCTACATACACAGTGAGATCCTGTCTCAAAACAAGTACTCAGATGATTTGTGCCACAAACCAAAAATATTCATATAAAATTATTACAATGCTACAAAATAAGGCAAAAACAAAGGAAATACAAAACATAGAGAAGGGGCTGGCCAAATAGCTCAGCAGATTAAAGTGCCTGCAAGCAGGTGCAGGGGACAGGGATTTGGTCCTTAGGTCTGCCATGCTGGCCCCGCCCCCAGGGTACGCTGAGACCACAATTGAGACTGGGCGTGGTGGCTCACGCCTGTAATCTCAGCTCTTGGGAGGCTGTAAACAGGTGGGTCACTATGAGTTGATCTAGTAATGAGACCCTGAACACTCTGTAGACCCTTCCCTAAAAAAAAAAAAAAAAAAAAAAAAAAAAGAAAGAAAGAAAGAAAAAGAAAACCAATTAACCTGTACTTGAGTTTTAAAGTCTTCATGGCTTGTGTGAGACAGAGAGAGGAGCGGTATTGTACAAGACGGCTTTCACCATCACTAACAGAATCACTGCTTTCTATTGACTCAATTTTTTTTTCCTGAGCAGTCTTAGCAGGGAACCTATCCATCGACAATTCCTTTTGCTTCCTCTTGAGGATTTCACAAAAATATGACATTGCATTGTCATTAAACAGATTCTTTACCTGCGCCACTACAGCTTTATTCAAGTGGTGCTTTTCTGCACATTTTGCACCATTCCCACATTCATGTTTCTCTACTCTCAGTTGAAGTGAGAGATTCCCCTACCTTTTCCTCCTCCTCCTCCTCTGTAGACGAGATCTCCTCCACAACCTCTTGCTGTCAGGAAATGATCATCCAAAATCCCACCGTGAAGGAGGAGAGGGAAAGCACTCAGTTTAGTCGTGGTCATGTGACGTTCAGTGTCACTACGCCTATTGTAAGACATTGCTTGTTTATCAAGTTATAATTTATTAGCAGCCAAGCAAACCTAGGTGTGGTGGTGCACATGTGTAATCCCCGTACTCAAGAGGCTGAGACAAGAGAATCCTTATGAGTTTCAGGCCAGTCTGCACTACAAAGTGAGTTCGAGACCAGCATGAGCTGCACACTGAGACTCTTTCTTAAAAACCAAAGAAGTTTTATTAGAAATGTTTGGTTGTCTTGCAGAACAAGTTACTCCCAGTCCAAGGTATTACTATGCTTGTGCACCAATACTGTAGTTGTTCACAATTCCCAGGAAGTCCTCCAGTGAATGGGTGGGTAAATAAAATGTAACCCAGCTACGAAACGGACTAATATACAATTGTGACAAAGAACAAAGTGGGGAGGGTGCAGGCATTGCTCAGTGGTAGACCACTTGCCTAGCCTACCCAAGGGCCATCCCCACATCTCCAGTCTCTGTCTCTGTCTCTGTCTCTTTTTCTGTCTGTCTGTCTCTCTCTCTCTCTCTCTCTCTCTCTCTCTCTCTGTCTGTCTGTCTCTCTGTCTCTCTCTCTCTCTCTCTCTCACACACACACACACAGTATGTGTACAGTGAAGTACTGATAAATATAACAATATGAACTTTTTCTTTTTTTGTGGTACTAAGGATTGAACTCAGGATCTTGCCAGGCAAGCACTTATTCCACTGAGCTATCTCTCTGGCCCCTACAATATGAACTTCAAAAACATCCTCATCAAAGAATGAAGCCAGGGGCTGGAGAGATGGCTCAGTGGTCTAAAGCACCTACTTGGAACAAGCTTGGCAAAGCACAGGGACCGCGGTTCAATCCCCCAGCACCACATGCCAGCCAGCCGCGCCCCCTGGTGGGCTGAGCTGCCCCCCCCCACTAAATAAATGTTTAAAAAAAAATTAAAAAAAAAAAAAGAATGAAGCCAGTCACAAAAGATCACATATTGGGTTGGGCAGATAGCTCAGTAGTCTAAGAGCCTGCCTGGCAAGTGCAAGGATCTAGGTTCGATGTCGGTACCACATGCCATGAGGAACCCACGCCAGTCTGGCCACTGAAACTAGGCATGATGACATATGCCTGTAATCCCAGTGCTGGGGAGGCTAAGATAGGAGGATCACTAGGAGTTCAAGCTGTGTCGCCAGGTTCTGTACCAAATGAAAAGTAAGCAAGCAAGCAAACAAGCAGATAACATATTGTGGGATTCCATTTATGTGTTTAAAGGAGGTAATTCACAGAAAGGAAGTGGATTAGTGATTGCTAAGGGGGTTTGGGACTGGAGAATCGATGATAGTTACCGGGTCTCCTTTTGGAGTGACAGAAATGACCAGAAGTGACTAACCAGGCATGTCCCAGCACCTGGGAGGCTGAGGAGGGTCACTGGGACTTCAAGGCAAGCTTGAGCTGCATAGTTAGATCCTATCTCAAAAAAATAAAACAAGGTCAGGGAGATAGCTCAGTGGACTAAAGCACCTGCCGAGGCAGAGCATAACAGCCAGGGTTGGATCTCTGGCCTGCCGTGAGGGCCCTGCCCGCCAGGCACCCTGAGAAACTGGGCATGGTGGCGTGCGCCTGCAATTCCAGTGCTTGGGAGGCTGAAAACAGGAGGATCACTATGAGTCTAATCTACATAGTGAGTGAGATCCTGTAGACCCTGTCCTGATTACAGAAAACAACAACAACAACAACAACAACACAAAACTGAGTGTACTGAATACTACTGAACCATATGCAAATTTCACCCAAATAAAACAAACCAGCTAGAACCTGGAGTGGTTTTTTCCAGAGAAGAAAGCAGAAATCAGGATAAGGCATTATACAGCTATGCCTCGCTCTTCAAGGTGAGGAGGGCTTGGGGGAAGGGAGGAGGGTGCACCTCAGCCGGGAAATAAGTTTCCTGGGCGTATGTGGCCTGCAGGGGCCACAGACTCACGTGGGCAGGGCAGTCTGAGCTTCAAATTAGCTTGTCTAGTGTGCCTGTTGTCATTTCCCCTAAGACTCCAAGTTTCAGAGCCGGGGAGATGGCTCAGCAGAATAAGCGCTTGCCTAGCAAGCTTAAGGACCTGAGTTCAATCTCCAGTTCCGCAAAAAAAAAAGAAAAGAAAAGAAAGAAAAAAGACTCCTAGTTTCAGAGCACTACAACAAGAACACCAACTCCAGGGCGGGGAGCTTTGGGGAAAGACGGAAATGGAAAGAAAGAAGGAAATGGAAGGAAAGGGGCCACTAGCTTCAGGAGAAGTGACCAGAAGCACAGCAAGGCAGAATCCCAGATGTTTCTGGTGGTGATGCATGCCCGGCTGCGTGAAGATAGCTGGAAAGCTTTTTATTTTCCCCTCTAGTACTGGGACTTGACCCTAGGAGTGCTCTACATGGAGCTACATCCCCATCCTCCATCCCTCCCATTTTTGAGATTAGGAGTCTCGCTGTGTAGTTCAGGTTGACCTTTACCTCACTATGTAGCTCAAGCTGGCCTCAAACTCGCACCAATCCTCCTGCCTCAGCTTCCCAAGTGCTGGGATTACAGATGTGTGTCACCATGCCCTGGTTCTTTTTCAACTTTGAGATGGAATCATGCTAAACTGCCCAAGCTATTCCTGAACTTGTGATCCTCCTGCCTCAGCCTCTCAAGTAGCCGGGATTGTGCTGCTGCTCCTGGATGCGACCCTTTCATGTGGTTAGTAAGCATGAGAAGGTGTGACAGTCCAGAGATCACTCAGCCCCAAACATCTAGAGCTACGCAGGCCAGTGAGCACACTGAAGCCCAAGCACAGCTGCTCCGTCACACTCAGTGTGTACCAAATAACAACTCCACTCAGGGCTCATGTGGGTGGCAGAGAGGCCAGGTCTGGGCACGAGAAGAGCCAGATTTTGGTCTGTCCTCTGCTCTACCCTTACTGAGCAAGGCTCATTGCTCTTCCTCTCACGCTCATAAACCCAGGGCTATCTTGAGCTCCATGTTCAAGCCTTTCTTTTTTTAACATTTTAGATAAGTTCAGGCTGGACTTATACTCATTATATAGTTCACAGTGGACTCAAACTTGAAGCAATCCTCCTGCCTCAGCCTCCGGAGTGCTGGAATTACAGTCAGGTCATACTATACCACTCAGCCTAAGCGTGAACTTTTTTTTTTTTTTCTGGTACTGGTGATTGAACTCAAGACCTTGCGCTTGCCAGGCAGGTACTTATGCCACTGAGCTATCTCCCTGGCCCCTAAGCTTGAACTTTTGGTCCTTTTATCTCAGCCTCTCAGAATGCTGGGATGACAGATGTGTGCCACCACACCTAGCGACCTCCTGCTTTCTACATTTAACTCTCCCTCACTGGTAATCAGTGGGTCCTGGTGGATGTGTGACTTCTGGATGCAGAGACGATCAGTCCTAAGCTCCTAGATGTACATTTGCATGCACACATCATGCAAATACTCATAAAGAGATGTAGCTAAAGCAGAGCTGCTCACTAAGGTACAGACAGACATGCCTGGGCGCGCATGTGCGCGCGCACACACACACAACTGCACACAGGCAAATCACATTGATGTAAACAGATACAGAATCAGACATCTGCACAAACATCAAGTTATAATATCATGAAGGACTGAGGTATACCTCAACAGCAGAGTGTGTGCTTAGCTTGATCCCTGGTACACACTCATGAATACACCATGCACAGAATAACATTGTACCAGCCTGTAATCACACAGACCAAAAAAAGCCACAGGCAGCAGGGGCAGTATGTGCCTGTCATACCAGCACCCAGGAGGATGACTGACACAAGTTCCAATCCAGCCTGGGGAAAAAAGTGAGTTCAAGGGTAGTCTGAACTATGTGTTAATACTTTATCTGAAAAAAAAAAAAAAAAAAACTAAAATAAGGAGAAGGAAGAGGAGGGGAAGGGGCCAGCCAGGCTAGATAGCTCAGTGGCATAAGTACCTGGTGCCTGGCAAGCGCAAGGTCTTGAGTTCGATCACTGGTACTAGAGGAAAAAAAAATTCACGTTTAGGCTGAGTGGTGTAGTGCAACTGTAATCCAAGCACTCAGGAGGTTGATAACAGGAGGATCACTACCAGTCTGATCTATGTAGTGAGACCCTGTACGAAGCAGAAAACAAGAAAAAAGAGGAGGGGAGGAAGAAATTGCCACACTCACAGGACACAGTCCTAAATTCACACAGGCACGCAACCACCTCTAGTCAACAGAGACAAAAGCACAGCCACAACACACATATTCTTGCAAGCCACTCACACACAATCATATACATATACTGGCTGTCTCAGGCAGAGTTACAGGACCACAGACACACTTACATGGTGACATAAAACATGGGCACATTACAGAGGACAACTATTAACAGTAGCACACCTACACACAGTTATAATGAGAACCACAGAACACAACCAGTCACAGAACATGATAGAAACACAGAATCCCGATCACACACAAACACATAGTGCCAACATTATACAGCATTCCAAACCGAATCCCTCAAAACACAATGATGTAGGAGAAACCCAACGGAACACAAGATGCACACTGATCCACCATCCTAGTCTCAGAACTCACTGGCATAGGATCAGACGCACCTACAGAGACACAGTTACTTGGGCACAAACACGACACACACACACACACACACACACACACACACACACTCAGTCACACATACTACACGTGCTTCCAAGAAAGTGGCAGACAAGGGTGAGCTGCGATCGCACATTGGAGCCTCCAACCTCGCCCCACCCTCCGACTCAAGTGCAGATCTCAAGGTTCGGTGGCTTGGCTGGACTCTCGACTCTTTTAACTTTTGGATCCCTACCGGTGCCTCTTGTGTAACGAGCTAACCCGGAGCAGTCAGAGCCTCTTTTAAGGCCAATCCGAGCTGAAATACATCTAGCCAATCGGATTAACGCATTCGCTTGCCGCCCCTTTTCTGTTCAGCTTCTTAAAGGGGCTAAAGTGCCTCGGCCTCGGCCTGAATTCCTTCATTGGCTGGCTGTCATCGCCCTTTTAAATATTGAAGCACGGGGAGCTAAGGTTCTGAAAGGAACCAATGAGAAGCACATTCTGTCTCCGCTCCGCCCACCTCCGGCTGAGGTCAACGCCTTCCTTTTTGCACTGTGGACTTCGAGGTGCACCCAGGGCACCAGGTTAGGAAAGCTTGGGACCTGGACGCCTCGCGGGAGTCGCTTGGAACCTGACACTCCACCTGCTCCTCCAGGTCACTGGTCGCGGCACCCCATCCCCGCCTGCATGGCCCTGAGAAGCGTCACCACACGGTTGCTGCACCGCGGGCCCCACCTCTGCCTCTGGCATTCGCGGGGCTGGGCGGCGCACACAGGTCAGTGCGAGGAGTTGGGGAGGACAGCGGCTGGGGGATCTTCCGGCGTGACCTTCCCCTGATGTGTGTGTAGACCAGGGTGGAAAGATGCAGAGCCAGCCCGCCAGGTTTAAGGACCCCCGGGTCACGCCACGTGGCGCAGAAACCGACCGGCTGTGCCCAGATTGGGAAGCCAAGGGGCGGGGCTGGAAAAGGGTCGCCTTTGTACAGGCTGCGAGGCTCAGGGGGTGCTAGGCCTGGTAGCTTACGTGGGGTGGCCAGGGTGATTCAGCTCCCCACTTTGCCAGCCTCGCGTCCGGAGTTCGACTGGCGGGACCCGCTGGTACTGGAGGAGCAGCTGAAGGCGGACGAGATCCTCATCAGGGACTCCTTCCGCAACTACTGCCAGGAGCGACTCATGCCGCGAGTGCTGATGGCCAACCGCAACGAAGGTGCTGGCCAGTGGGGGGACGGGGCTCTCGCGGGCTGGGCTGGACCTGAACTCCGGCGTCCATCCCTTCCTCCGCAGTGTTTCACCGGGAAATCCTCACTGAAATGGGGGAATTGGGTGTACTGGGACCCACTATCAAAGGTAGGAGTGCGTTCCTCTCTATGCTCTGCAGATGCTTATGGAGTCCTCAAAAGCCCCTTCCTTTCCCTGACCCAGGGCCCGAGTCTGTAAAAGGGAGTTAGTCACTTCTCCCTCTGGAAGCTGCTTCGGGAACTTGGTGAATAAACTTTCCGCGGGGCAGCGCCCTGCCTTCCTCCTGTATGCCCCGTCCAGCTCTGCTTCTGTGCCCTCTGTGCTCCTGCAGGCTACGGCTGTGCTGCGGTCTCCTCGGTGGCGTATGGGCTTCTAACCCGAGAGCTGGAGCGGGTGGACAGTGGCTTCAGGTCCACGATGAGCGTGCAGTCTTCCCTTGTTATGCATCCTATCTATGCCTATGGGAGCGAGGAACAGCGGCAAAAATACTTACCTCGGCTGGGTGAGCAATCGATTGTCAATGTTTTTTTCTTCTTTTTTTGAGATGATCTTGCTACACAGTTCACACTGGTCTTGAACTTACTGTGTAACCCTGGCTGGCCTTAAACTCATAGCAATCTGCTGGGATTAGAGGCATGCACCACCACTTCTGGCTATGCACCTGTCCTTGGGTTGATCAGTTTTGAGGGGGTGAATAGGGTCCTTAACCTGGTAACCCTGTCTTGTGCTGTCAGCCAAGGGGGAGCTTGTGGGCTGCTTTGGCCTCACAGAGCCCAACCACGGGAGTGACCCTGGTGGCATGGAGACCAGGGCCCGCCACAACCCAGCAAACAAGAGCTACACCCTCAGTGGGACCAAGAGTTGGTAAGGAACTGGGTGGCAGGTGGGTGGTGGACGGGCAGGGCAGCAGCCAGAACCCTCACTGACTGCCCGCCCCCAGGATCACTAACTCGCCAGTGGCTGACCTGTTTGTAGTGTGGGCTCGGTGTGAGGATGCCCGCATTCGGGGCTTCCTGCTGGAGAAGGGGATGCGGGGCCTCTCGGCCCCCAAGATCGAGGGCAAGTTCTCCTTGCGGGCCTCGGCCACAGGAATGATTATCATGGACAATGTGGAGGTGCCGGAGGAGAATGTGCTGCCTAACGTGGCTGGCCTGGCGGTGAGTGTTGGCACTGGGGACCAACATCATTCTGCTGATTCACCTTTCCCAGGGAAAAGCTGTGATCATGGTGGTTCCGAGGTTCCAGCTTGCACTCGTAGGCCTCTTCCTGTCCTATGTACAGTGATCTGCAGATTCGGGGTGAGGTAGCACTGGGCAAATCCAAAGGGAGTAGACAGCTGGGTACTGTGGTGCAAGTACACAGCTGAGACTGTAGTCTCAGCTACTGAGTAGGCTGAGGCCAGAGGGTCACAAATTCTAGGCCAGCCTGTGCAACTCAGAGAGATCCTGATTCAAGATGATAAGTTACAAAGGCCTAGGATGGAGCTCAGTGGTAGAACGTCCCTGAGTTTGATCCCCACAAAAAAGAGACAGTAAGAAGCAGGCTCTGAGAAAGGTGTGGTACACCCAAGCTTTTTCTTCTTTTTTTCTATGTATTTAATGCAGGGTTTATAGGGTCTCACTACACAGATCAGACTGGCAGTGATCCTTCCTGTATGCGCCACCACATAGTCTCAGCCGCCCCTCATGTGCCCCCGGGGGGTGGGGCCAGCACAGCTGGTGGAGGATTGAACCGAACCCCTGCCCCTGCCTAAGCACACTCTTTAATCTGCTGAGGTACTTGGCTGGCCGTGCACGTGAGCTTTTGTGCCAGGTCCCTGTAAGAGTTAAATGGTTGTGTCTGGGGGGGGGGGCTTTCCCATTTCAGAGTAGTTGGTTCTATCCACGTACAGTGGTACATGCCTGTGATCCCAACTACCAAGGAAGCTGAGACAGGAGGATGGCAAGTTTGAGGCCAACCTGGGCAATTTAGTGAGATCCTGTCTTAGAATAAATAGAACTGGAGGTTTAGCTCAGTGTAGAGCATCTGTAGGTAGCTGTGGGTTTTATTTCCAGCACTTCAATGAAAAGGGGTTCTACAGTCCTTTCAGTGGCTCCTGGAGGGACTGAGCTCTGCTCCACTCTACAGGGCCCCTTTGGCTGCCTCAATAATGCCCGCTATGGCATCACATGGGGCGTGCTGGGAGCCGCTGAGTTCTGCCTGCACACAGCCCGGCAGTACACTCTGGACAGGTATGTGCGGGTCACTGCCCCAGGCCTAAGTCCCCTGCTCAGTGAAGTGGTCCGTGAAGTCTGTCTGAGCTGGGCCAGGACAGCTCTGAAGGCTTCCTGGGCAGCAGGACACTAAGCTGGGGGCTAGAAGGGAGTTGGTCTGCCTCTAGCCCCTTCCTGACTCCCCTCAGGATCCAGTTTGGTGGCCCCTTGGCCAAGAACCAACTAATCCAGAAGAAGCTGGCAGACATGCTGACTGAGATCACGCTGGGGCTCCAGGCCTGCCTGCGTCTGGGCCGCCTCAAGGATCAGGACAGGTTAGAACAAAGGCAGGGCAGGGGTGGGGGTTGTGCCACTGGGCCCTGTGCCCCAGGCATTAAGGTTCTACCTCCCTGTGGCCCTGGGACCCAGGCCTCAGTGGTCCTGGAGACTTGGTGGTGGCACTAAGGAGTGCCCCCAGCCTCAGCTGGGTTTGCTTAGGGTGTTGGGGACCCAGTGCTTGTTGTATGCATGTGCCACTCCCAGGGCCACCCCAGAGATGATCTCCCTGCTGAAGAGGAACAACTGTGGGAAAGCCCTGGACATTGCTCGCCAGGCCCGAGACATGCTGGGTGGCAACGGAATTTCGGACGAGTACCACGTGATCCGACACGCCATGAACCTAGAAGCAGTGAACACCTATGAAGGTGGGGCCAGGCCTGACTAGGGGCCTCATGCCTTAGTGTCTGGAGAAGGGGGCGGTGATCCAGCTGTCACCAAGTGGGGGTATGACCTGATGTTGCTCACCAAGCACTGTGCAGAGATCCCGTAAGGCCCCCCAGTGTCCACTATGTCAGAGGAGGGACAGCCTGTGAGGCATTCCCAAAGGATCTGACTCCCAGTGGGCTGGTGGGCACCGGGGAGTGACAGTGACTGATGGCAGCTCCATCCAGTTATATTCAAGACAAAAGAAAAGGACAACTGTATTGTGCATTCCTGGTAACTAGTAGTGATTCCCGCTGGGGCCTGGACCCCTGGTTTGGTGGGAATATAGACATGGAAAAGATAATCAAAATGCTGGGCACTGTGGCACACACCTATAATCCGAGCACTTGAGAGGTTGAGGCAGGAGCACTTCTGTGAGCTTGAGGCCAGTCTAAACTACATAATGGGCTCCTGTCTCAAAAAATAACAAAAACAAGGCTGAGGGCCAGCGAGATAGCTCAGTGGACTAAGCGCCTAGGTTATGCAAGAGCAAGGACTGGGGTTCGATTCCCAGCACCACATGCCATGCTGGCCCCATGCCCAGGTGCACTAAGCGGGACACTGACACCAGGTATGGTGGCACACACCTGTAATCCCAGTGCTGGGGAGGCCCAAAAAAGGATCACTACAAGTCCAAGCTCTATAGTGAAACCCTGTACCAAATACATTTTTAAAAAAGGCTGAGTGTGATGTTCCACACCTGTAATCCTAGTACTTGGAAGGCTGAGGCAGGAGGATAGCTGCAAGTTTGAGACCAGCCTGGGCTACATAATGAGTTCAAGGCCAGCCTGCACTACATAGTGAGACCCTGTCAGAAACAAACAAGAAGGGCTGGCCAGATAGTTCAGTGGACTAAAGCGCCTGCTTTGGCAGAGCACAGTGGCCAGTGTTTGATCTCCAGCATGCTGTGCTGGCCCTGCCCCCAGGATGCTCTGAGACAGTAATTGAGACTGGTGTGGTGTCGCATGCCTGTAATTCCAGAGCTTGGGAGGCTGAAAACAGGAGGATCATTACAAGTCCAATCTATGTAGTGAGACCTTGTAGACGCTGTCCTAAATTAAATAAATAAATAAATAAATAAATAAAGATAAATAAGTACAGCCAGGCGTGAAACAGTACTGTGGGAGTCTGAGGGAGGAGGATTGCAAAGTCAACCCCAGCCTGAACAGTTTAGTGAGATCCTGTCGCAAAATAAATTAAAAGCCTGAGGATACAGCTCAGTTCAGAGACCCTAGTTTCAGTCCCCTTTACAAAACAAATAAAAAAGCCACATGCAATCCAGGGAGCCATGTGGAGATCAGATTCCCAAGCAGAGAAACTTCTGGACAGAAAGAAAGCACAGGTGGTAGATAAATGTTTAATTCAATGTGCAGACTAAGGCTGGGCCCACAGTGGGGCCTACACCTGCTGCATCTTGGGGTTTGGCATCAGGAACTTTTTTTTGTTTTGTTTTGTTTTGCTTTGGCCCAATTGCATTATAAAACTATAGAACTACAAAAAGCAATCAGTGTGGCCTGAAGGTGGGTGCTCAGCCTTCTTTGGGTGGCTGTCACTAGGCGGTGAACCTCTCGGTCATTCGGTCAGCATTCCACATCTTTGTAGATCTGCTCTTCTAAAGTGGTGGCCTGTGGGACATGAAGATGGGCTTTAACAGCAAGTTATAAGCTGTGAAACTTGCAGGCTGACCTGTATAAATCTTGTCCAGGTACGGCTGACATCCATGCGCTGATCCTTGGACGGGCAATCACAGGAATTCAGGCATTCACAGCGGGCAAGTAAACCCATTTGGCACCATAGCTGCCTTCCGGAGAGATGCTTGCTGGACTCTGGCACTGCATGGTCTAGGCTGACCAGGAGGTGGTGGACAACCTGACTTCCGCAGTGGGAGTGAGGGACACCAACCAGTAAACATCAACATCTCTCTTTGGAAGGTGTTCAGATGCGCTCCTTGCAAAGAAGTGGGGAGGGGATTCCCTATCAAGGATTTCCCATCCACTGTTAGCTCAGCTCACCTTAACACAGAAGCCTCTCTGCTGAGAGAGTAGGCGACCTGTGTGGCTAAGTAGCCAGCTGCAAGGCTGGGTCACAGCTCACTGTGCCTTTAACTCTCTGTTCCAGGGTGGGATGCAGGAGAGGAAAAAATAAAGCACTTGCCTGTCTGACCTTGCAGTGTTGGGCTGCATGTTACTGGGAACCTTGAAAAAGGGTCTTGGGAGTTCTTCCTAGGAAAAATGAGTGTTCCTGGCTGAGCCCCTGGGATAGCGTGGTGGTGGTGGTGGTGCTATGTTTTCACACTAAAGTAGTAAGAAACTGTCTCATGTCTGAACCTTGAGCTGGGCCCCTCCTAGGTCCTGGGCTAACAGCACAGGCCATGGGGCTTAGGCTGTGGCAGAGGGGATAGCATCTGACGCAAGAGCCACTTTGCCATCATAGCTGACCACCCATCCATGGGAAATGACAGTGGTTTGACTCCTCTACTTGCATATACCTTGTGGTGAGGGATCATAGCCCTGTGAGTTGGGGGTCGCCTTGGAAATGGGGCCCCAGGCAGTGAGCCCCAACATCCTGCTTCATGTCCCAGCTTGTTCTCAGCTGAGCCATCACAAGCGCCCCCCCCCCCCCCGGAGTGTACCCCTGCCCTGCCCAGCCAGCGTGGCTCCTACCTCAGGCTGCAGGCACAGGTCCTTGTACACAGTCTCTACGGTGTGGCATGCTTCTTTGAGCTCTGTCTCCAAGTGGCCAATCTTTGTCATTTTCAGGGTGAATTCCTGCATCCTTTCCTGAATGATCTTGCTATGTTGGCTATAGACCTGGTACATCCTGTCCTCTAACTTCTCTGTCATATCTGAGACCTTACAAAGAGTAAGTGCTAGCAAATTAGAGGCATCACAAAAACAAAAAAATGAAGCATCACAGACATGGTCTAAGAGGATCTTTTAGATTGTTGTGGTTTATCTTGTGGAAATGGTACAAAGAATTCCAGTCACTGGAGGTATAAGTGCCTTTATGTTCACAAATTATTTTTTATTTTTTAATTCATGTATTTGTTATAGGTCTCACTATGCAGCTCAGACTCAGTGATTCTTCTGTTTCAACCTCCATAGCACTGGGATTACAGGCATGCGCAGGAGTGGTGGGTCTGGGGCAGGGCTGGCCAGACCACCCCCAAGGTATCTCCCCAGTTCCAAACTATTCTTTTTTTTTTTTTGTATTTTTTAGGGAAGGGTCTACAGGGTGTTCAGAGTCTCACTACTAGATCAGACTTGTAGTGATCCACCTGTTTACAACCTCCCAAGTTGAGATTATAGGCGTGTGGAGCCGGCATGACAGGCCCGGGAATCAAACTCCAGGCCCCTGCAACTGCTTGCAGTCGCTTTAATCTTCTGAGCTAT